ATAAAAAAAATACCCTTTGTCTGCAGGACAAGCAACATAGCAAGCATTATAGTGGATTCCAACCTGCTTCGGTCAAGTAGGGACTGAGCATTCCATTCTAGAGCACTTGCTGAAAGGTCTGTAAAGGCCAGGTAAACCCTCTTTATCTATTACTGTAATGTAGCCAGGCTGCATATACTGTACATTCAGTAATAAGCAAGGTTTAAAATAATCTGTATTGCCAACACAAAGGAGAGTCAGACCAGCGCTCTCTCACAAAGAGCACCGACTTGTTAAAAGTTAGATGGTCCTGGATTTAGCATAAATACATGCTCAATTCTGGTGTTCTGTGAAATGCGGTATCTCTTCATCCCCTTAGATGTTACTATTCTGAACAAGTATGCTATCTGAGGTTAAATTCCCAGTGCAGTAAGCTTTTCTAATTTTCTATGTCTAATGAAGACATAACAACGTTGACATTAGGAGACTTATTGGCTTACTTAATAATGCATTGCAGAGACAATCGGCCACATTTAATTTAAAAAAGAGTGTTAAAGTGGTCTTGACAGACTGCTAACAATTTGCAAGGGTCACTTATATCCATATCATACCCTCTCTCTCTATGACCTCCTAGCAAACTCAGTGTAGGCTGATCTGGGACCTGCCCCAGCCTATGATTGGAAGATTGGAAAATGAAGGAGCAGCAGGACACTAATGAGGTTACAACTCTACTCTCGTCACCTGCCTGGAAGCATGTAGCATAAAATGCACATCACTGTACGTACAACAGGCACTGCTTTGCCCCTTGTTGCATTGAATTACAGGAGACTAATACCAAGTGTGAATGTAGGTACTTCTAACTAGCAGCTGTTTGTAAATGTACATTTAATTATATTTATTTTAATGAATCCACACTTTGAGCACATGTTAGCATTCATATATGCCCGGCAGCATTTAACAAACATTCCTCCTTGTCGAGTCATTACTATAGCTGAAGCTAGCAAACTGGAGTCTACAACTTTTAGCTGAATGGTTCCAGAGTAAGGATGGGCTGCATGTTCGAGTCGACCATAGGTTCGACTCGAACATTGCATGTTCTAAGAGTAGTAGAAACCATTACACTTGCAGCTTTTAATCCTTCTGACTAGATTAAATCAATCGAATTGCACAGAGTCTTCATTTTATATATAACCAAAATAATTTATAGCCTCTCAATAAATACACAGACTGTCCTAATAAATACACCACCTTGGGCTGCCTTCTGGCTTTACCAGGGGTGCCTTCAACTTTTCACCCAGCGTCATGCACTTCCATGGCGCAAGTGAACCAGTCATGCAACCTCTTAAAATCCATACCCCTATCTAGGATAATGATCTGGTGTAGATTTAGGGGTGTTGTGTCTGAAAAAAGGTTCACCGTTGGTACCTTAGAAAGCTTTATAGCATTGGGACCTTCGACTCAGCTAACCACATCTAAGGAGATTCTAGGGATACCATTGATCATACAATGGCCTGCATTCGGGGCCGGATTTACTCTCTCTGCTGCCCCAAGGCCAGGTTCAATGCGCCCCCTGCTCCACCCCCCCAATGGAGAATGGCAGACCTGCAGGCTGCATACAAGTGATCTCGGCAAAATCACAGAGATTACTCGTACAAAACAAGCGACGGCTTCCCTGCTGTACACTTAGCTCTGCTTGCCCAAAGCAGGGCTAAATGTAGAAAATAACTACCCGGCCAGCGCCCAGAACTGCATGTCCCAGACATCGAGAGATAGGAATTCCACACCCCCGCTGCCCCTCTACTCCCTGTTGCCCCGAGGCTGGGCTTTCGTTGGGCTTGTGGGAAATCTGGCCCTGCCTGCATTCAATATAAGAACAAGCTTTGTGGGAGTGGAAGTGAATCAGTTAAAATAGCAAGTGGAGAGTATTCTGATGTAAAGTGAAATTTGAACTTTTTATTTGGCAGTTACAGAAAATCATGGAAGGCTGCAGACCAGAAGGAAAAAGTGTTTTACTAAAAATACATTCAAGCATTGATTGCACAGTTCTCATATACAGTATATTATTTTATAACAAGTCTGTAGTTCCACTTAGACTGGCTTATTCATAATGCACTGCAAAGAGCCATAAGATTATGTGAAGTGTATTAAGCCATTGTAACCAATCAGATTCTAGTTAGTATGGCATAGATTTGTGTATTTGTGTTAACCAAAGACAGGGGCTTAATATAACCACATACTGAGAATGGTGGCATTTTTGGCACTCAAGAAAAATAATAGGCTTAAAACTATAAAAACTGAGGCAATCAATGGTATAAGCCAAACAGGGCATCACTGGGCCTTTCTCAGTGGTATTTGCATTGCCCATAGCAACTTCACAGATTTCTCCCTTGGGTTTTTTTGGCTAGCACATCAAATAAAAAATAGTCATGTCAAACTGGTGTTTTTGAATTGTGGGGACCCCTCTGTGTTTCATCTTTGCAGTCCTTAGTGGTTTAAAGCCCATTTGTATGTCCTCACCAGGGCTGTCTACCACAGGCTCAGTCCCCCAAGCTCCAAGTGTTGTTCTTTTTCCGGCCTGAATGGCGCCCAGTTTAACTTGCTTCCTAAGATCCGACCCCCATGGGAGTTTGACATTAGGCCGTCTTGGGCGCACTTAAGAATGTTGTAGAGAAGGAAATTATTTCAATACCATTCACCTTCATGGGCAAAGAGGTGCATGTTTTGAATGTTTTGTTTTGCATGTTATCATGTGATACATTAAGACAGCCCAAGAGTTTTGGCCATCTTAACTTTGGGGGGAAGGTGCCATGTCCAACACATATCACTGCAATGAACCCTAAGGCTTTGTAGGGAGGGGTTGCACAAAAGTTATCCTTTAGTATTTATTCTGAACAAGACCCCAGCTGTTCTCCAGTTGGTAAAGGCTGCACTTCCATACATCATGTTGCAGCTAAATCCATCGAGAACTGTTTTATGGTCCCAAGAAATGTTTTATGGCCTCTGTCTCTGGGATATAAAATGTTGGAAGTTTTATTTTTACCAATAAATAAAACTACTGAGACTAGATGCCAGTAGACATAATGCGGCCCTGTTCGCTTAATTTGGCCGGCTGTTCCATTTCCTTTGACATGCCTTATCTAAACGGGTGCAACGGGCAACACAGACGGTGCTTCCTTCAGACACTTTTATCAATGAGGCCGAAATATTTAATTCATTATTTTGAATCAAAGATGAACACAATTGAATGCTCTAGGGTAGGGGTAGATAAACTTTGGCACTCCAGCTGTGGTGAAAATACAAGTCCCATGAGCCATTGCAAGACTCTAACAGCCACAGGCATGACTCCCAGATGGGATTTGTTGTGTCACCACAGCTGGAGTGCTGAGGTTGCTAGGCCTGCTCTAGGGATTATTTGCCCCAGCATTATTTCCAATAATTTCAACTCAGGAGAAGCATCATTTGTCTAATTTCTCCATATCCTGACCGGTTATCTATATTTTTCCAAATCAGCCAAGGACACACTGATTACAATAAAACCCTCTTCAATATTCAGTCATTAAAAAAAAATTGTAACAGTTTGTGAAAGCTAGGCCACTTTGTGGCAGATATGAGGCTATACAGCATATGAATAAAATGGCTGCACTCAAAATAACAAAGACATGGCTGGAAATTCTGACAATCGATCATTAACAATTTTCATTAGGTAACATTTTTTTAAAAAGGGGAAGATTTGGGTAGGAAATTAGGTAAAATAAAATAAAGAACAGTACTGAAAATGTGCCTGTTTGTTATTTTGGTACGTCTGAAGTAGTTGTTTTGGAGCCAGCAGGGTCAGAGGTCATTCACAAGCAAACACGAAACAGGATTGCTCCACCATCTTGATTCTTAAATAAATGCAACATGTTCAAAGAGCGGATTAAGTTTTGTGGAGATTTGGCTAATAGTATGTTTTTTTTTAATCAAACACTGCTGTATTTTCAGTATTTTGTTCCTATTGTTTTGCTACTTATCTAGCATTTTGTGCATTTCAGCTTGCTAAAGTAGTCATCTATAACGATGGAGACGGACATTTTGGAGAAAGCCAAGAGCACAGAGCCTATTAATTCACTAAATTCTATCAACATGACAGGTGTATTGATAAGTCGCTGAGCTGAGCACAAAAATGGCTTTCCTCAGGTGTCTCTTCACACAAGTTTCCCTTATGTGTCCCTTCACATGAAACGGCTGCCTTCGGGCATTCCTTTGCCCAAAACGACTGCCTTCAAGCATCCCTTTGCCCAAAATGGCTGCCTTCAAGTGTTTGTTTGCCCAAAATGGCTGCCTTCAAGCATCCCTTTGCCCAAAATGGCTGCCTTCAAGTGTTCGTTTGCCCAAAATGGATGTCTTCAAGTGTTTGTTTGCCCAAAATGGCTGCCTTCAAGCAACCCTTTGCCCAAAATGGCTGCCTTCAAGTGTTTGTTTGCCCAAAATGGCTGCCTTCAAGCATCCCTTTGCCTAAAACGGCCACCTTCAAGCATTCCCTTGCCCAAAACGACTGCCTTTATGTGTCCCTTTGCCTAAAACAGATACCTTCAAGCATCCCGTTGCCCACAATGGCTGTTTCAAACGTCCCTTTGCCCAAAATGGCTGCCTTCATGTGTTCCATGACAAAAATTGGCTGCCCTTATGTGTCTCAACACATAAAATACCCGTCTTCATTGTGTATAGATGATGTGGCGCACTTTAGCATACATATTAATAAATAGCACGTCATTCCTCATACAAGCAAAATAAGTCAGCATTCTATTAATTATACGCTGTATACTGTGCCGAAGATTAACCCAAAAAAAAAAAAAAAGGCTTTGCCTGAATCTTGACATTCTGGGATCATGTAAACAAATTAGCATAGTTCAGACATCTGCAGTAAATAATCAGTGAATTTCAATAGGTGCAGTAGGACAGCTGTGCTTAGCACCATCGGAAAGTAGACAGGAAATTAAAATGCTATTATTTACAGAGGCCCCCCAAAAAAAGCTATTCCCTCAATAGTGGTGAAGTCGTGAGGTAAACACATAGTTGGAACGAGGCAATCCAGACAAACCAGTGCTGGAAGACGACATTTTAATGCTGAATTGGGGGACCACCGGCAGTAAGTACCTGCAAAAAAAAGAGAGAGATGAAGTCAATGACATGTAGGGATGAATTACAATTTCAGCCCTGTGCGAATATTTTCTCTATTCTGTACTGGAAAACAGCTATACCTGCTTGCAGATGTATCTAATTTCCAGCTAATTATAAAACACAAGCACATTGCTTCTTGGCAATCATTCACATTGTGTCATTAGAGGGTATCTGTGGTCAAAAAATGAAAAATAAATATGTATTTCTATAGTGAAATTCCATAAATTCAATCCCACTCCTAATGACTAAGTCAATCAAGAAGTCTGTAAGCTTACTTGTTGAAGATGCCGATAAGATGGACTCCCTCAATGCATTGACACAATTTCACTCAGCCCTGTGAATATGCACTTCCTACAACGCCTGAACAATGTAACATTATCATTGCTTGCTGGAAGCAATGCATGATGGTAGGGATGCACCGATACTAGTATCGGTATCAGTGCCGATGCTGAGTATTTGGGCGAGTACTCGTACTCGCCCAAATGCTCCGATGTTTAGCCCGATACCTGGGCTTCCAGTATCAGCAAGCCGGGTAGCGTGTAATGACTCGCCGCCTAGCTTTCGGATTGGTCGGGAAGCCGGCCAATCAGGAAGCTGGATAGCGAGTCATTAACCGCCCCCCGGCTTTCTGATTGGCCATGTTCAAATTCACTTGGTGACGAGGGAGCATGGAGCCGGCTTCTCGGCCAAACAGGAAGCCAGGTGCCGTGTAATGATTCATTGCCCGGCTTCTTGATTGGCCAGCTTTGACCAATCAGGAAGCCGACAACAAGTCCCTACACAGTGCTCGCTTTCCAGATTGGCCAGAAAGCTGGCTCCATGCTCCCTCGTTACTTGGTGACGAAGGAGTATGGAGACAGCTTCCTTGCTTTTTGGGAAGCCAGGTGGCGAGTCTTTACATGCTGCCTGACTTCCTTAATGGGATTTCCGGTATTCATATTCAGTATCGGCGAGTAGCGGAAAAAAAATATCGGTACTCGTACTTGATACTGAAAAAACGGTATCGGTGCATCCCTACATGATGGGATGTGTCGTCTAGAGAAATTGAGATTGCATCACATTGAGCAGCAGGGAAAGAGATGCAAAGCATACTGGGAATAGAGGAAGTTGTTGGAAGTGATGGGCAGACAGAAGGCAGCACTCACTACATAAAAGGGATTTTTTTCAAGTAAGCTCAAACAACTCCAGTTTGTATTCCTATTACAATGCTGATGTCATAACAGGACAGTATAGGTTGAGACTCCTTTATAAGAACTTCTTGTTTTAATACAGCTGAGGCAGACAATCACATAGCAGTAAGAAATATGTTAAAAAAAAGTCATAATAAAGAGTTTTGTAACATGGAAACAATTGTCAAGAGGACACTTGTTTGCGTTTCATCACGCAACTTAGCCGCAAGCTAAAGAAATGAAGGGATAGTTATATCCACTTAATTCAGTTTTAAGGGAGCTTGTAAGACATTGACCTGAAGTGAGCAGGAGAGCAGAACTCAAACTCTGGAGGTTTCACTGGCTGAATGTTTGTCCAAGGTCACTAGTTTGTGAAGCCAGGATCAGAATGAAAGTCCCTGCCATTGCCGATGGCGGTGATGTAAACACATGAGGAGGCTGCGGCCGTTGATAAGAGGTAAGTTAACACCTTTGCAGCTGGTTATATCTTAACGTGAGAGGGCTAGGGGGATGGGTTGCAGGTTATTTTTTTATTAAATTAGAACTTGTGCTTTAAATCAACCCTATAATTAAAGTAGAACTGAAAACACTTTTTTAGTTTTGGATAGAGAGGGTTATAACCCTGGTCAACTATTTTGTTTCCATCTGTTTCCCATTGGGGAGATTTCCCTGCAATTCCTGTCTAAGTATGTCCCATTGGGGAGATTTTCCTTCACTTTCTGTCCAATAGCCCAACAGGAAGTGAGAGAAAATCCCTGCAAAGAAAGGGAAATCCCTGGTGGTCAGCAAGGTCATAGAACTAATGTCCCTATTGGAAGATTTCCCATTTATTTGTTACAGGTATTTATATAGTGCAGAGAAATTATGCAGTGCTTAACAATTAACCTACCAGGACGTGTGGGAGGAGACCCATGCAAGCACACAAGTCCATGGGAGAACATGCAAACTCCTTTGTGTTAGCTCCTTCACCGAAAGATTGTGACCTCTTTATGCAGACCGTGACCCTACACTAAACACTTCAAACTCAATTGGAGTATTACACACACAATTGGCTTTTATGCTGACACACCACTGGCTCCAATTATGTTTTGCTTTCCTTCCCCTAGCTTGTAAGAGTCTTGTTCATAAATGACCATTTTCTCGTTCCTTTGAAATTAGGTATTTATGTAATAACGAGAAAGATAAGGGAGGTAGAATGATGACTGGTGAGGTGTGATCACAGTGCAACTCTCCTAAATACTGTGGATGAGATACTCAATGGCGGTGTTCACTGTTCATAGAGTTTCTTGCCAAATTGTTAGACTAATATAAAAAAAAAACTACAAATAGCAAAAGAGAAAAGGCCTTGAGGTGGAGTGATGAGTAACTGTGGTCCAGGTTAGTGCATCTTAAATCCTAAACTTGCCGGTTAAAATGTAATAAAAATGTAAATGACCTACGTATCCCACGTACCTCCTCATGTATCACTTGCCCCTGCCTGTTAGATTGTAAGCCCTCACAGCCAGGGCCCTCCTTACCATCCTGTCTTGAATTGTATTGTAATTGTAATGTCTTCCTTATATTGTACAGCGCTGCCCAAATTGTTGGCTCTATATAAATCCTGTATAATAATAATAATAATAATAATAATAATTGCCTATAGTGCCAATTTTCGCTCTGTTGCAAAACTACATTGGTTGAAAAACTTCTGCATTCAACTTACATTTGGTTGTGTTGGATACCTAGTCAGCCAGTGGAGTGGTGGTTGCATCAACTGGCTGCTACGTCACTACTGTGTCCTTCAGTCATGTAGAGGCCAGTAGATGGAACCACAATGCCGAGAGAGCAACCTGCCATTCGAAACTCTTCGACGTTTTGGTTGCTGAAGATTTTTCAGCGTAGCCCTGCCATTGTGCAAAGACTGACCTCTGACTGGAGGTGAGGATTAACTCTTATTTACAGCCAGCACTATTTAGAACTTTACCAAAGGTGCATTGTAGGGAACCTGTGCTTTTCCCATGTAGGGCAAAGCTCATGATTGACTTAAAAGCAACTCCCCCCCATCTGCATATATTCACCTTCACTTTTCCTTTGTTCCATTGCTCCTTACTCCATTCAGCTGCCAGGAACAAAGAGAAACACCCAAAATCCTTTTTTTCTATGCAGTGCTTGGTGCCTTAGGCTTCATCAGTAACGTGTGGGGATTGGAAGAGAGACCATAGCACTCTGTATGTGCCACTTAGGGCATGGGCAGCTTACAGAGGGCTTCTTTACTAGCGGCATGCAGAGTAGCAAAGAAACAAAGAAGAGGTGAGGATAAGCAGCTAGGAGATCCTGAACTGAACTGAACCTGTTGCTTTTCAATGCATGGGCAAAGCCCAGGTTCACTTTAAAGAATTACTCAACCCAATACATGACATAGTAACCCCTGAGCCTATATCTTTGGGAATCATGCTTGCTCCTGGTTCTGGATCCAGCAATGCCCAAACCCCATCATTCTCAGCCAGACATAGGAGACATGGTCACCCTACACATGCAAAAAAAAACAAACAATGGTGTATTATAGCTGTATTTTAGCCATCACCCTTATTCTGCTAAAGCTTTACGCACACATGGAGCATGAGAGGGAGGTTGCACAGCACAGGAGCAGGTGGCAAGAAGTTGCAACCTCATCCACATACACTGTAAAAAGTCTGATTAATATGACTGCTGAAGATTTTATAAATGAGAGTAATGTTAAATTGTAAGGACAGTTTGACTTTAGCAGAACAGAGAGAATCTATGCAACAGCGCCCCCTAGTGAGCACTTCAGCCATGGGAGATGGCTGGCGGCTCTAGGCCATCAAGATCCTCCTGGAGTGCAGAACGGAGGAGATATCTGTTTCCCATTAGTCCTGCATGACATACATCTCTGGCCCAGACAGGTCCCTGATGCTTGTAAATTTACAGAAAAGTAAAATGTAGTTTATTAGGGAGGAAACATCCTTGCTGCTCATCTTGCATTGTTCTGTACTTTGGGGAGGAAAAAGCGATATGTTTCCAGGCGGTGGTTTTCACCAGCAGTTTGTCAGCTTCTCTGCAAATATCTATGAGATTATATAAACATATGTTCAAAGGAGGCTAAGAAGTGATTCTGGAAACACCTAATTCATTCTCATGAACAGCCAGTGTCAGCGTACCTGGCATAAGAGTTGCTTATTCACAGTATAAACAGACAGTATCAGAATTTAAAGTAAAAAAACTTTACTGTATTCTAAACATTCAAAAGTAAAAGTTCTTTTACATTTATTAGCAAGAAAACCCTATTCTGGCCTGATTTAGTTACACTTTGATACTAGAGAGTGACTTGCTAATCAATAATACTCCCCCTATGTTGCCAAACAATAAAATAAATTATTCCAGACGCCTTATTTTGTTTATATTTTTTGATGGTGGTCATGTGACCAATATCACCAGGGCCATCTCTATAATAAGGGCATCTCAGATGGCATCTCTTAGGGTCACGTGGGGGTGCGGCTGCACAATGTTTGCAGTGTGCCTACTGTCCCCTTTCTGGCCAGGGCGTCCCAGGTTGCTAAGTGTAAGGGCCACACACATCTCCCCACTCAGCTCTTATCGACCTGGGGCGCTCTGGCCAGCATGCCACCTAGCTCCTGGCAACCAGTGAAATCACTGGTTGCCAGGAGCTAGGTGGGACGCCAGCCAGAGCCGCAGCATGCCTCTTCACCAGCACAACCCCACCCCCACCACACACGCAGAGTGCGTGTCCCACCAGCACACCGGCAAAAAAGAATTGGGGCCCCTGAATATCACTGTTCCAGAGCTCTGTGGGCTGTAGGCAGGTGCTTTACTGCAGGGCCTCTTCCATCACCTGTGAACCTTGTCTAGTGTCGTGATGTTTCCTTAGGAAGTGTGGCCATGACAGCCTGAGCTCACAGGAATTGGTTGAATGAAGCCGGGTGTCATCAGAGCTTCTGCAAGGAACAGCTCTGGAGACAAGGTAGAGTATCGCAGCGAGAGCTACATTTTGTATTTGTAGAAATGATTGGCTATTTATTTTTTCCAATTGTTTTAAAACTGAAGGTGTGCTTTAAAAGGAGAACTATGAGGTGAGTGCTTTTCACTCACCTCATAGTTCTAGCCGACCTGTGACAATGAGACTGTCACAGGTTGGCTCAGTAGATCGGGAGGTGAGCGAACACATACCGGCGTTCACTCACCTCTCGATCCTGTCACGGATCTCTGCCATGGCAGGGGAGTGGCTGGATTCCCCCCTCCGATCCTCCAGCACTGACTGGCGGAACGGACGGGGAGGGGGCAGGTACAGCTGGCTCTGCCTCTAGATAGGCAGAACCAGCTGTCAGTCACGCAGCTGGGCGGATCCTGGCACAATTGTCGGGATCCGCTTCAGCTGCGGCATCTCAGTATACCACGAGCAGCAGCTCGCGGTATACTGCGGCGTCTCAGTATACCGCAAGCCACAGCTCATGGTATACTGAGCCTAGGGTGACGGGAGGACGCTAGTTTGTGTCCTCCCGTCACCCTAAGGAGAACTATGGGGAAAAGCCTTAACCCCATAGTTCTCCTTTAATAAAATCTCAGCAGTGGATTAGCAATGGTGTTAATTGCACTCTTTAACAAACAGATCAGCACATGAACATGATCAAAAAAATATGGTGCAAAGACCAAGCAAAATGTAAAATTTACATAAAAATTACTTTCAGGTGAGCTTTCAACAATAGCTGAAAATGTAAACTTGTTTTTAAACAGAAGGATTTAGATGATAATGAATACCTTGTGTCGCTCCAGTCTGGACTCACACCCGCCAAGGAGTTCCGGGAATCAGTTGCATATTTGTAAACCACAAGCAAGCAGTCTTTGCAGAGCTGGACTAGCCGATGGCAGCACTGGAGCTGGTCAGGTGTCACAACCTCGGTGCTCTTGCTGAATATCGTCTCCCAGGACGTACTGCTGGCAGAGGACACACAAATGACCTCATGTTCACAACCCCAAATGCCAAGATAAGAGCATTAAAAAAAAACCCACAAGATTTAGCCTTACTGGAGCAAGAGATATGACATGCAACCTTTCCATGCTTTGTTGGAAATGTCTTGAGTAGTTTAAGCCAAATGCCGACAGATGGAGAATAGATGGAAAAAAACAGTTAATCTCTAAGTTTGAAACCACTCAAAACTTCTTATTTATATGTCCCTTAAAAGATATGGCAGCTTCAGTTGTTTACAGGAATGGAATTGAGAGTAATTGTTGGACATGTTTGACCTGGAATTTAGTTCTAGAAAGAACAGGGAAGGATAACGACCTCTGAGAGGTTTTTATTTTTGTCTGAATACCCATTGAAGAGATTTCCCCTCACTTTCAGACCTGATGACACAACAGGAAATGAGCAGCAAAACAACAATAAAACATCAGAGGAGCTAATCCTTGGGTTGAAATGGGTATAGGCATGCACCGATACCAGTGCAGATGCCAGTGGCGATACTTGGCATTTCATGAGAACTACCAGGGTTGCAGCTGCGACTGGGCCATGGCGCTCCACCACTGTTCTGAAAACATTAGCCTATCCCACCTCAACCTAACCACTCAACCATCACATTTTCAAACAATTCATCCCCACACTGCTCCCTCCTCATGTATCACTTGTCCCTCCCTTTTAGATTGTAAGCCATCATGGCCAGGGCCCTCCTTACCATCTTGTCTTGAATTGTATTGTGATTGTAATGTCTTCCTTATATTGTAAAGCGCTGCGCAAACTGTTGGCGCTATATAAATCCTGTATAATAATAATTCGTCTGTATCGTTTTAGAAAAACTGTCACATGACAATAAACAAAAATGTATCAGTAGTTGATATCTGTGAGGACATGTATTGGTACTTGTACTTGGTCTGGAAAAAATAGTATTGGTGCATCCCTAATATATATATTATTATTTTATTATTATGCTCCTTAAAAATGACAGCTGTCTCCTAACTTTTTGGGTTTTCTCTAGTCTAGTAGCTGGAAAAGTATCTGTACTTGTAGTTGTACCAAGCACGGTAGTTGGTATCTGTGCATCCCTAGTTTGGTAAAAAAAATTATGGTCAGAGAGAATGTAGGAGGGTTAAACAATGTCAGGATTTTACAGAGATCTGTCTATCATTGCAAGAAAACAAATGTACGTGAATAGCATCAAATAACCAAATCAAACATTTTGCAACAATATCTAGCCCACTTACAATATTTATACCAAGGGAAAGGGAGAATAAGGCTTATGCCATTGCTGCTTCTACATATTTGATACTGCACAAATCGTTGCTAATACTATATTCTCTCAACATATTTAAATACACTTTGTCATACTGTATAAGCAAAGGAAAAACAAAAAATCAGAAAATTATTTTTGAGATCTTATATATATATTGTTTAGTTTTATTTTGTCTCTGGGAACATGTTTCTGATGGATTAGTACTGTAAGAATTGTGTCTCTGGGGACATGATTCTTGTGGGTTAGTATGGTATGTATTGTGTCTCTGCGAACATGATTCTGGTGGGTCAATATGGTATTAATTGTGTCACAGTAGACATGTTTCTGGTGGGAGAGTACGGTACAGTATGTATGTCTGGGAACATGTTTCTGGCGCATTAGTAGGGCATTGATTCTGTATCTAAGGACATGTATCGGGTATGTCAGTATGGTATGGATTGTGTCTCTGCGGACTTGTTTCTGGTGGGTCAGTACAGTACAGATGATGTCCCTAGATACATTTTTTGATCTTACAGTTGATCTTATATGCATATCAAATATTTTGATTTTTTTAGTTTTATTGTGTCTCTGCAGACATGTTTCCGGGTGGGTCAGTATGGTACGGTTTCTCTGGCAGGATTTGAGGGTGGACAGTACAGTACAGATTTTGTCTCTGGGGGCACGTTTCTGGTGGGTCAATACAATGTTTATTGTGTCTCAGCAGACATATTTCTGGTGGGTCAGTATGGTACAGTTGTATTTCTGGGGTCATGTTTCCAGTGCATTCGCATTGTACTGATTTTGTGTCCAAGGAAATGTTTCTGCTATGTCAGTATGATACTAATTGTGTCTCTTGAGGCTTCTGGTTGCATAAGCACAATAGTACTTATGTTGTCTCTGGTGAAATTTTACTGGTTGAATGTATGTCCATTTTTTGTTTCTACACTTGTTAGTATGATTATGATCATGTTATTGGTTTATTATTGTCTAGGTTTATCAGTTTTAGTACTGTATGCTGTATGTGTGTTTTTTTGGGGGGTAGGTAACTGGCCTAGAGGAGAAAAAAAGTATAAACCTGTCCCAGTGCCCGGTAAAGCTGAAGGGTCTATCATACAGGTCCCATTCAGGTGTGTTAACACACACGTCAACACACATTTTTCATTAAAATGAAAAGGCTGCCAACACACCAGAATGGACCATAAATCAGACATGCACCAATTGTTCAGACACTGCGCACCACAATGTACGGTAGTGTGTTACCCTGCGTTGTGCTTTACTGCAACACATGTGCGTTGGAGGTGCCTTGGATTAATGTGCTGGTGTGCCATTGATGAATGGCATTGCAAGGCTCTGACAGACCGCACTGAAGAGGTCTGAATGGGATCTAACAAACTTGTGTAGACAAAACAATAATTTGGTTATTTGTGTTCCAAAAGAAAAAGGTAACAAAACTATGTTACGGGAGGACTCAAAAATGCACAATATATATGTAAATATATGCACACTGCATTATAAATGTAATTTTTAATTTTGCCCATAGTTTCACATTAAAGTAAAGCAATTGTAAAAAGGACATATACTAAAATAAGAATGCATAGTTATTAGATTTAAGTAAACATTATAGATGGTTCCTAAAAACTTACCAAAACCTGTAACTACATGAATCCAAGGCATTGGTCATGTGGCCTCTGCGAGGAACACTGTACAGGCAGAGGGACTGGCCAGCTCTCCCTGAACATCAGTCCTCCAAGCTCCTTTTGGCCGAGATCACATGTCCAATGCCTCAGTGTTACCCCTAAAAAAAAAAGTTAACTATCTTTACTATCTTTAGTAAGATGAATAACTCGATATAGGAGTTTCGGGGGGGCTGCAGCCTTTCTTATAACACAGAAACTGATCATGTGGTTACAGTAAAAGCCGACATATACACTTTACAGCGGAAGTCTCACTATATGCATTGGAAGGATTATAGTACACTTTATTTCAGGTCACTATATTCTTCTGCTCTGTAGAAATAAGCCTTGCCAGCTTCCAGGTGAGACAGTCTTTCATTAATGTAATCACATGCCGAGTTTCTTAAACATATAAAACTTGGGGAACTGTGCATGTTTGTTTGTTTTTTTCCAGACATACACTTTAAGGAGGACCTTCAATGTCCAGGTCCACTTTAGTGGACCAAATATGAAATGGTGGAGGGTGGGGGATTTTTTTTTTTTAATTTTTTTTTTAGGACCAGTTCTGTCTTGCTCCTGCGGCCTCCTTCACATATCCCAGGAGGCTGCAGAAACAGGAACTCACAGTGGCAGAGGACCTGGTTGTTTGTCATCAGGGGGTAGCTTTAGAACCCAATATTGACAATCAGGCCCCGATGTTGTTTCAGAGGAATATGGCTGGATTTGTTGGGCAAGTGAGTATGTTTTCTGGTGAGACCGCAGTATAACAAGTAAGTGGGGATAGGGGGAAAAAGCATAGGGAGTGGTATAGTTCCTCTTTAAGGGAATCTGATTACAGGTAAATAAGAATCTATTTAAATATGAAAGATGAGACCAAATTAATTGTTGTATGCAATCGGTCCTTGTTTGCTTTAGCTTTTGTAATTCATCCCTGCTCCCTAGCAAGTATTAACAGTCTGATATGTTGCTTCTGTGAGGCTCTGCACTGTCTGCTGAGCCACGGATAACCAGGCACAGATCAGATGCCGCCCAAGCAGCTTGCTGTGATGTGACCTTGTCCATGCAGAAAGAGCCGCAGGCTGGCACACTGACAGCCCAAGTAGCAGGAAAGACAGATGGTGCTGTTCAGGGTTGGAGTTCAGCGCAACGATCGGCAATGAGATAAAGACAAGCCTAATGCAGGGAATATTAAACACCCCCCCAACCCAAGCTGCTTGACAAATAGAAGGTCAATATGTTAAACTCAATATAAACACAGATTTACTGGTGGCACAAGGGCCTGACAATAAGACGTATTTCTCATTGCCAAGATCATCTGGGGTAACAGATCTTTCTACTTTCTTTCTGACTCCTGTAAACAGCTATAGCAATGATATTATTTAAAGAAGAACTCTGCTAAGCTGTATTCGCATCAAAATTGACCACATAACATATTCCTAGTTCAATTTCCTTGGTGAACTGGACACAAAAAGTCAGATTTTGACATTCCAACCCATCTAGGTAGTGCAAGAGCCTATCTACAGTAGGTAATATATATTATTAAACTGTCAGGTGGATTCTTAGACTACACAGCTGGTGCTGAATTGTTGCTCTAGGAAATTAAAATTTAACTGCATGTACCCACCTTTCCTGAAAACTAATGTACATATATAACAACCAATCAGAATCCATATAGTGTTGGTGCAGTAAGATGAATTCTAATAGGCTACTATGGGTTACTGTACATGGTAATGGTGCATTGATTCTTGTATTGCTTACTGAATGAACCCATTAGTGTCAGTTCTTTAGGACTGCACATAAACATCCATAGAAATTTGACCAGCCTTGGGTTAGAGGATAGGCCTGTTTAGGGATAACACTAGGAGACAACTTGCACTTCTGATGTTAGAATTTGGTTTAAAATCGCACTGTGTCTTGGTCAATCCTTCCTTCTTTTCATTTGAGGGACAAGGGTGTCAAACACACATGTGCCATGTCAGACTGTCAGGGCAAGCTGCTTATGGAAGAGTAGCAGGTCCATGCCTATTGGTTTCATGTTGCATAAGAAATTGGC